TATTTTTTGCCAATAGCTTCACCAACAGCAGAACAAAACTTTTAAGGTTCAATAATAATGCCCAGTAATCATATGCAGCAATGGTAATCATCAGGCTCACATTTCCAATTAATATATAAATATAGTCACCACAAGTTACGTATTACATTTTCCAAATATGTAACGCACATAAAGCCATACAAGGCATATGCAAATGCTGTACTTGGACTTGCGATACAGACGGCGGTTGTTCTTAGAAATAAATTTGCCAAATGACTAAAAGTCCACAAAATAAATAGCGCAAAATTTAGACTTGGAAATGTTACGCGGGGAATGGTGGCCTCGTTTGCTCATAACGAAACAAAAGGGAGTTGTGGGCATTTCATTCGAGTGCTCGACAATAGAGCCAAAGGATTTCAAATGGATAGTCAGCTGCAGGAAAAGCAAAGACATTGGAATGAGCAAATCCACTTTTCATCTCTCGCACTTTGTATTTTATTTATTATGGACTTTCTATACTAGATGAACTTATTTGTCTATTATCGTTAGTATGTATTTTTCTCTACTTCTAAGCAAGTTTTAGTTGAACAATCATTTCTGCTTGGAAGAGAAGTCAGTTCCATTTTTGGGCTAGATCACTACGTCAGATTCCTAGGATGGGAGGGTGGAATAATTTTCATTGACGATATTTAAAAAGGAAAATAAGCAATAAACGACGAGTATTAGAAGAAGCAATCAAGAAGAAAAAAACGGCAACGGACACGTTCACATGTTCGGCGTCGCTGATCTGAGAATTCTAACAAAGAGAGTAAGGTGTTTGTCCACAATGCACAGGTGAAGTTTGAGCTTTATGGCTATTTTGAAAAACTCAAGCTTCCCAAGCTATGAATATGAAAAGTGCATCGAGCTAATACATATACTTTTTAAGAAGAACAAATATTTTTTCATAAACTCTAACGCACTTCCGGAACTATCGTAGTTTATTAATCAAGTTACAATTATTTTAAATTTTTAAAAAAGAACATTTTGTTAATTGCTCTTAACGGTTACTGAAGACAATGTCCTTTTATGTTGGACATGGCACAACGAAAAGCAAAGATTGATCTACCTATGGCTTGAGTTGATGATTGATATGCAAGTAAGTACTGTTAGATGATACTTTGTGAACTGATTGTTCGGAGAATTGCGCCATACAAAATGCAAGCGCTTTCTAATGACTACTAACTAATACTAGTAACTAATTTCATTTGAACGATCTATTAGCGAAATATATCGTTAAGTGCGTTTAACGCATTTATCGATCTGCGGACGGACATTTTCGCGGTTTTCCTAAACCTATTCTCCAGGTTAAGTTCGAAAATCAGTTAAACTTAATAAGTTAGTAAAAAGTTTTATGAAATATGGAAGAATACACAGAAATGGTTTACAGTTTTCACATTTAAGATTCTGGCGTATTTTATAATAACTGATTGTCTTGCAAGCTTTGGTTTTTTTTTATTTTTTTCAAATCTTATTCGTTTTTTTCTATTGTCCGCTTCAAAATTTCAACAACATTTAACTCAAACATTCTTGATAATAGTATACGTTTATTCTCAAAGCGGCACAATACATGCAAAACAAATGAGAACGAATATATGCTTA